GGACATTATAGTATTACAAATTGGCATAGTGGAATAATAAAATATTTTGAAAAAACAAAGGAAATTGATATAATATTACAAGAATATAGTCAAATTGCCTTAAGCCAGCGATATTCAGTTTACATTATGCGTAGATAAACGGGATCGGGCGTATGGATTAACACAGAATGATGTCATCAGAAAATCATTTTATATTTATCCAACTAGTTCGTTCTTAAAAAAATTGACTCGAATTTTTGAAAAAGTTAAAAGAAACTCGAAACTACCGTGTTGAATCACATTAAGCGCTAATCTTTCTCACTCTCTTTACAAATTAGTACAACTAATGAGCCTCGACAAAGCTCCTTGCTTTAGCCCTACAAACGCTAAGAAGGCAGAATCAAGGCTTGATCAAGGTCAACTTAACTACAGGGCACAAAGTTAGAGCCTACATTGGCAAGCAAACATATCAACGATTATGGCATGCGCAATTGGAAAACATAAATAGGTATTTCACCTAGTACATAATAAAGTACGGTATTGACATTACTGGAATTTGAGAAGTTGAACAGGGTGCGGACGTGGCCGCATCTTATTAGCTTTTTTTTTTTTTTTAATTTCATTTTCTTCCAATGAAAATCATCTAAGTGTAATTTCTGTTGATTTTCCTATTCCTATATCAAAGTAGTGCAATTATATGCATATATTAAATGGAGCACATAGGATATTCTATTTATTGAAGCAGGAGAGATTTAATGGACAAGTGGGTGAATGTGGTTTCGAATTATTGGTTCCAAAGAGAGTCGGTATCAAATAGAGAATCAATTTTATTTTTTTTCATATGATGAGCCATCGGTTACATTGGTAATCATGTAACTGAACAATAATTGAATCAAATGATTTCAATTTGGTTTGGTTTTATTTGGTTACATAATCAAAATTTTTAAATTAATAATGAGAGTTAGAATGCAAAGTTTTATCACAAAAAGTTGATACATATATTTAAAATATAAACAATAAGTTTCATAAAAAACAAATGAAAATATTGTCTCGTAAAAATCATTCATCAAATTAACAAATAAAATAATTAATTAAAAAATAATTGATTTAGAATTGATTCTCAATTCTTTGTTGTTGGTACTTGAATCAGAACATAGCCAAAAACTGATCGATTCTTGGTTGTAATATTTTATTGGCAACAAAGAGAAATTTCGATGTGGACCTTAAGCCATTTAATATAGAAACTCAAAGTACATTTTATTTCGATGTTAATTGACTAGAATAGTAGAGTCGAATTGGATAAACCTACATGGCATACTTGAAATTGACCCGATAAAAATGTCTCATAAATCGGCACATAATTCAAACGGACCGATTACACGGATCAATAAATAAAAAAATCCAATCCGAGCCGATTAATCGAATCTCACTGCCCGAAAATTTTCGAATCAATGGACGATCCAGGGGATTATATAATTGGGAACAATACATAAATAAAGTATTTAAGTATCACAATTTCAAATTTAAGGTTTGAGATTTTAAATTTTAAAAATTCGGTTTTCAATAAAATTTATTTATAATTTAATTAATTAATTATATGTTTTATTAATAAATATATAAAGGTCACAAATCTATACAATTTGGTCACAATTCAAACAATCTAATATCATAATTCAAAAATTTTATAGGTCACGATTCGTTTATCGGTCACAAATTAAAAATTTAAAAGTCACAGTTTGTTTATTGGTCACAAATTACGAAATTTATAAGTCAAGCAACTTATTTTATGGTCACAAAATATCAAATTATAGGTCACATATTAATTTTATTGGTCAAAAATTAATAAATTTGTAGGTCACAGTATTTATTGGTTGCAACTTATTCTTCATTGATCACACACCAACTAATTCATTGGTCACAATCAATAAATCATTTGTGAGCACCACCAACACAACACCACACCACAGAATTGCACCACCGTCGCCAATACCCATCACCATCACCATCACCACCACCACCATTTCCCAGCAACAAAATCACAGTTTCAAACATCGCAGCCAACGTTTTCACTACCACCACTACACCAAACCATCAGCATTAATAATTTTTAGGTCACACAACATGCATTGGTCGCAGTTTATCTATTTCATTGATCACACACAGACCCAATTATTGGTCACAATCAACAAAATCACTTGTGACTACCACCACCACACCGCACATATCCACCACTGCACATCACGCACCGCACCACACACTCAGATTCACCCCCCCCCCCACATCGCACCACCACATCGCCACTGCTTCCACCAGTAGCACCACCACACCATCACCACCACTACCACCACTACTTCCCAGCAACAAAATCACAGTTTCACACATCGCAGCCAACGTTTTCACCACCACCACTACACCAAACCGTCATCATTAATAATTTTTAGGTCACACAGCATGCATTGGTCGCAGTTTATCTATTTCATTGATCACACACAGACCCAATTATTGGCCACAATCAACAAAATCACTTGTAACTACCACCACCACACCGCACATATCCACCACTGCACATCACACACCGCACCACACACTCAGATTCACCCCCCCCCCCAACATTGCACCACCACATCGCCACTACTTCCACCAGTAGCACCACCACCACGCCGCCCAATAGCAGCGTCAACATCTCATACAAACTAAGACCACACCCAACTGCTGCACGCTAGAACAACACACCCGGTGGCGTCCACACACACCAGTCGCGACGCACCGACGTACACACCCACCATATCTACCTCCACACGCACTCACACACAACTAACTGCCCTCCACAAGAGGACATAAGGGCGCAGTCACGGGCGCGACTGTGTCTACTATTTTGCAAGATCGAAAAGCGAAGTGTGAGAGAGAGAATAACGGTGAGGTAGAGACAGTTGAGCATTTCAGCATCACAGAATTGAGAAGAGAGAAGCGGCATGGGTTACGAGCACCGTCGTCGTCGATGAGGGAGAAGAGAGACGACGAAGACGGACGGGAGGGGAGGGGAGGGGATGGGAGGAGAGGAGATGGTGACGGCGGGGAAAGAAATGAAATTAGAGTTTGATTTTAGGATGAAATTATTAATTGGAATGAAAATTATTAATTAGTATTTAATTAGATATAAAAAAT